GACTCAACTTCTCCTTGAAAGTAATCTCAGTAGTACTTCTTTTCTTTTCAAATAGACTCAACTTCTCTTTGAAAGTGATCTCAATAGTTCTCCTCTTCTTCTCAAATAAACTCAACTTCCCTTTGAAAGTAAACTTAGTTGTTCTTCTCTTCTTCTCAAATAGACTCAACTTCTCTTTGAAAGTAATCTTAGTAGTTCTTCTCTTTGAGTTTCTCAAAAATTTCTTTTTGACTAACTTCCTAGTAATTTAGAAGGGCGGTGCTCAACACTTTTGGTTGAGCCCGGTGGTCCGTTGTTATATACGGCCACCCCGGGACTTTTGTCGGTACCACAACTACTCAATAGAAACGAAACAACTACCTTAAGTGTGCACACCCCCTAAAAGGGATTCCAAGCCCTCCGAGTATTAAGTCGTCACGAGTAGTCGGGTAGACTACCCCACCTTTAAGCTACTTCTGAATGATTAGGGACTACTACTACTACACTCTTCTTCTTAAAAAGGGATCATGGATCCAAATGTCACTCCAAACTCAAACTGTACTCCTCACCCTTAGTAGTAGAAGCCCTAACCACTCTCCACATTTTAAGGGACGTGGAAAACCAACACCTCAGATTACTCCCACGGTGCCTACCTCTTATGAAATCATTAATTTGTATCTTGAATCAGGATATACTTCAAAATATTTCTCAATCTCTCTAGATAGTCTCAAAAGTATTTAAAAATACTTAATACCCCAAAAGTACATTTGTATTCCTCAAAATACTATTGATTTAATATCTTCTTCAAATAACACATATACATAATCCAAAACTCAAAACATAATCACATAGCACATAATAATCATATTATATGAGGAAACCATTTTGGATCGGCAGAGAAACTTACCTTAATTTCGAAGCTCCTAGTTCTCCTCCTCTATTTATGTCTCTAAATAATCACCTTTTTAATCAAGATGACATAATCAGTCATTTATTAAAAATTTACATGATTTTCCCCTTTTATTTTATTGTTCGAATCTAGGTTATTTATTAATCCTACCACTTTATTTATTAATCCACCTTAATATATCCGAACATCCTAATGAGTTTACTAATAGTCATTTATTTAATCTGCTTTTGCTTTAATACTTAATATATCCGAATTTCTTAGTTATGTTAATCTACTTCAATTAATCAAGTAATTAGTGTAAATAATATGTAGCCAATTTATTCAATCTAGTTAAGGTACTAAGTTCGAAATAATCATTATTTTATTATAATACATCGTTTATCAATTTAGATTAATTAAACAATCAAATCATTTCATTATTCAACATTACGTAATTGTATCAGTTAAAAAGTGACAAATTTATCCACGTAATTATTTTGAATCTAATTAATCCATTTTTCAACTTTCAATATTCTCATTCCAGATTTAATTACCAATTTTTCATTATTTATTATTATGATTAACTATTATTATTAGAAGTAGGTTTTATCAAAAAAAAAAAATATTATTAGAAGTAGTTGGTAATTCGTATAGGCCAGTTAACAAAAAGGGTCCAGCCCAGAAATTAGTATATCTGGCCCAATTTTAAAATAGATCCAGCCTGAGTATAAAACCAGGCGGAAGTCATCTTCTTCGTCTAGACGCCGGAGCGAATGAAAAATGCAGAGAACGGTTACCTGAACTGTAGACTACTACCAGACTAACGAAGATGGTGGATCTGTTGGGATATGCCGGTTCAGCAACACAGACCAGCGTCGCAGCTTCAGCTCCTCTCTTTCTTTGACGTCAAAACCCACTCCAACGAAACTCCGGCGAAGATTTCTCCCCCTACTATCGACAGTTTCTCTCTTTTCTCACTTTCTTTCTCTTACTGTCTACCAGACCGAAGTTTTAAAGTAGTCTTTATCTCTGGGTTTTGCGTTAATAGGTTTGCCGCAGTGTAGGTATATTATACATATATGCATATACATGTACATATGGTTGTATGGCTATATTATGTATGCGTAAGTATATTTATAAGGTCAATCCGAAGCTCTAGCTGGTATAGCGTAGGTTGCTACAGAAGATTGCTTGGTTGGCTTGTCTTATTAGCTTCTATGTACGCATGTGGGTATGTCATTCGTTAGTCTCGCAAGAGGCTATGTATGTCGTATGATGTATGTCATCCTTATCATTATGTACTGTATATTATTGATAGGTACTCCATCCGCCCCACTATGATTGTTCCAATTTACCATTTCGGTCCGTCCCACTAAGATTGTCTCTTACCTTATTTGGTAAAGTTTTTGTCATTCTAAATCATTCCTACTTTATTCTTACTTTATCAATTCAATATCAACATAAATCCACTTTTATTAATATCCGTACCACCTTCTCTTGTCCCAAACTTAGGGGGACGGAGGTAGTATATTATTGGAGGTCTATTATTATGGTCATTGCAAATTATTATTATTGTTACTCATTATTGTTCGGCCAACTTCATGTGGGCATGTAAAGTTTGCATATGGGTTTGTTCTTTTATAGAATATTCACCCCCGACTTAATAATTCTAGCTAGTATTATAAGATAATATTCCACGAAATGTTTATCTTGTTACTTGAGCATTAAAAATGTCACTTTTGTAACATTTTATCTGATTAACTTAAACTTTTATTTTGTTTAAATTTTTGGGGTATCACACGGACGATGTCCGTTCAATTTCTTCCTTGTTTAATGATTTAGGAAATACCACTGGTATTCAGACCTTGAGGAAGAAAGCATTGGAGAGGGTGTTTTTTTAGCCATGTATACAGGGAGGGTAATAGTCCGGCCCACTATCTGGCTGCCCATAAGATCCAATCGGCCCAGATCCAATTTGAAAGGTTTGGTTTGCTACCTAATGAGGTTAAAAATGCTTATTATGCTGATCTGTTTAGTATTCCTAGTTTACGTATTTAACCTGATGTATTTTTATTTTGGGTCGAGTATAGCCCCCCCAAAATTCATATGTTTTATCTCTTTCATGTATTTCTCAGAGGTATGCCTCTGAAGAGAGGTTTTGGTTTGATCCCCCTCTCTTTTTGTTCTACCTTTTTATTTTAATAAAATCCAGGCAAATGTTCCCCGGGTCAAGAGCATATTGAGAGCCATTATGATGAATTTTAAACCATGTGGTACACTCAACCGTCTGGACTCTACCCGAGGAGCTGCAAAATTTAAGTCACTTCGCACGCCTTTTCTAATCAATCTTCTCTCACAACAGTTTCTTCTGAAGCCTTCCATCGTCTTTCTCATGGAGCCCATCCTTTTTGCTAGCTGAAACCTTCTTGATGCCAAGAGTTCTCGTGCGTGTTACTTGCGTGACAAAGACAAAGAAGATATCGTAACCGTCCATGGTTTTTCTCCCCCAACGAGGATCCACTTCCCGGTGCGTCCGGAGCGGGTTGACTGGTTCCGTCAAGGTTGGGTCAGCTTCTTTCAGTACGCATTTAAGAAATTAGGTATGAAATTCCCCTTTTCCGAGTTTGTCTCCGGCGTGCTAACCATCATGCAAGTATCCCCAGCCCAAATTACTCCCCAGACATGGCGATTGATTCGCTCCCTAGATGTTTTGATAGAGAAACATGCTTTGAAGTTTACTGCCAAGGATTTGGGCTTCACATATTACTTATGAACCACAGGAAAAGGTAGATTCATACTGACAACCAAAAATGAGCGAGAGCCATCCATTGATTCAAGAGATCAGCGGTGCTAATGATAAGGGAGGGTTGACTAAGTTCTTCTTCGTGGAGAAGTCTTCGCTTGGAGCAGATGAAGCTTTCCTGGTGGACAAATGGAGAATCGCAGGTTTGTTCTCATCAATATTTTTGTCTCTCAATTACATTCTCTATTTATCCTTACTCATGTTGATTCCTTGCTTTAGCCAAAAAACAAAAGACGATTCCTTTAGACTTTGGACCAAACGCGGAAGAAAGAACAAACCAACTCCTGCCATTGAAACTCGAAGAACGCTTGTTTTCCTCAGTTGGGCCCAGGAAAATTCTCCTTCAGTTGGGCCAATAGGTATGATGAGGTAAGCTGGTTCAGGCAGCCCAAAGGAATATCGAAGCCCTTCAATTTGCTACGGTTGACATTTAAATAAATTAGGGATAAGAATTAAAAGAGTCGACAAACAAGTCAAGAGGAGAGTGAGCACGTCGAGGAAAAATAGGAGGACAGTTACTATTCTTGGGGAAGGAGTTTACTTCATTCCATAAATACACTAGCTCAGGCTTTATTGTAAACCACGATCAATCACGATCAACACATTCATTCCAATTATCTAATACTCTCTATTCGAAAACTCCATATTGAGAAATATCTATTACTATCATTCAATTTATTGCTTATATCGACTTGTCCACTATTGATTCTATTTTGTGAGATTCCCAGTTAAATTTAATTGTTTAATTCCGGCATAAACAATTGGCGCCGTCTGTGGGAAACTCTTGCAAAGAAGAGAATCAATTGTGGCCGAAAGCTCTAATTCCCTGGTGATTGAGATCCAGGCACAATTGGAAGCCGTCCGAGAAGAGCTTCGCATGTCCAGAAATACCGACGCGGAGCAGTTAGAAGCCGTCTGGTTCTAATAGGTGTTCTTTTACCCTTTGTTCAGGGATCGAATCCCAGCTCCACCATTTTTATTTTTGCTTCTTTTCTTCAATTTACTCATTATTTGTTAGGAAGGAAATTCCACTTTTATTGACCTCCAGCTTGAACTTTTATTTTCTTCTTTTGTTCACACTCAAATGTATCCAAATAGCATCAAAAGTACCTGAAAATACAAAATACCCGTGTAGGACCGCACAAGTATAAACTAACGACAAATAATCAAAATATGTACAAATGTAGAACTTTAATAACTAAAATCAACAACAAACTAAGCCTAAAAAGTGTGTAAAATATAAGTACATAACCGTCCGATAAGAGCTTCGCACGTCCAGAAATGCCGACGCAACGCAGTTGGAAGCTGTCCGTGAGGAGATGCGCCGGCGGGTGGCTTTACTCCAAGGCGAGAACGACGCTTTAAGATCTCAGGTACAGTCGGTGGCGTCCATAGCATCTAGTGTGAGAATAATGCAAAGGCTTACCAATGTGGTAGCCCTAGGTGTCATATATATAAAAGAATATGTCCTGAGTACATTAGGAAACATAAGAAATATGGAAACCTAGTTAATGGTATGGTATTAATTACTCTAATTTACTCTATTACACCCCTCAAGATGTGCAGGGGAAACAATGCGCAAATTGTCCCTAAGAAAAATAAAACGCTGTGGTGACAGACATTTAGTAAAAATGTCGGCTAGCTGAAACTGAGTAGGAATATAGCGGACAACCAGATCTCCATGCGAGACTCTCTCACGAACAAAATGATAATCAATGCTGATGTGCTTGCTCCGAGCATGCTGAATAGGATTTGTGGACAAGTAGGAGGAAGAAACATTATCACACAATAACTGCACTGGGTGCTGAATGGGAACGCCCAACTAAAATAGGATGGAGCGAATGTGAAGCGTGTCTTGTACTGTGTATGCAATAGCCCGATATTCAGTCTCTGTGGAAGAACGGGAGACAGTGGGCTGCTTCTTAGACTTCCAGGAGACTAAATTCGGACCGAAGAAATTAGCAAAAGCAGAAGTGGACCGACTACTATCAGGACAACCAGCCCAGTCAGCATCAGAATAAGCCTACAATGTAGGAGAAGAGGTACTGGACTGGAGGAGCAAGCCGTGAGCAGAAGATCCCTGAATATACCTGAAAATATGCTTAACAGCCAAAAGGTGAGAAGTACGAGGTGCATGCATAAACTGAGAGACCAGGTGAACAGCAAATGTAATATCAGGTCGAGTCATAGTCAAATACTGTAGTGCACCTACCATACTTTTGTACGCAGTAGGATCTGCAAGAAGATCCCCATCAGTGAGAGAGAGCTTAGTTCAAGAAGGGAGTGGAGTACGAACAGGCTTAAGAGTGTGTAGATGGAACCTAGTTAACATATCAGTTACATATTTTTGTTGAGACAGAAACAGACCTGACTTGGTTTGAATGGCTTGGACACCTAGGAAAAAATGTAAATCCCCCAAATCCTTCATGGCAAAATAGCGGCCAAGACAAGAAATAAATGTGGAAATAAATGAAGGGGAATTACCTGTGATAATGATGTCATCCACATATAAAAGGAGATAGAGAACATGAGACCCATGACGGTAAATGGAGAGAGAATTATCAGACTTACTATAGATAAAACCATGGGTCAACAAAAAACTACTAAACCGGTAAAACCAAGCCCGTGGAGCTTGTTTGAGACCATAAATAGCCTTCCTGAGCCGACAAACATGATTAGGAAATTGTGGATGGATAAACCTAGGAGGCTGACGCATATAAACCTCTTCTGTCAGATTGCCATGAAGAAACACATTTTTGACATCTAACTGGCGAATAGACCATCTGAACGAAACAACAAGGGATAAAACAATACGAACAGTAGTGGGTTTGACAACAGGGCTAAAAGTTTCAGAAAAATCCACACCTTATAGCGCTCAACTGACCCATCAGCATTAAAATTTGTTTTACAAATCCATTTAGACCCAACCACATTTTTACTAGCATTAAATGGAACTAAATCCCAGGTATAATTATCAATAAGTGCATTAAACTCTTCAGCCATGGCAGCTCTCCATTTAGCATCTTTATTTGCCATAGAAAAACATGAAGGATGACAATTTTTAGGAAAAGATGCAGGTGGGGATGAGGTTTGGTTCGGGCTGGAGTTGTTGCGGCTTGTGGTTTGGTCGAAGGCAGACTGCGGCGGAGATGCTACATGTGCAGTAGAGGGTGTGTTTGGCTGCTGATCATGGTCGAAGGTGATGCGGTTGGTTTCAACAGAGGTCTGGGGTTCTGGGATGGTCAAGGAAGATGGAGTGAGAGTCGGTGAGGGATTGGGTGGCCTTTGGCCTTTGGCTGGGAAGGTCTGGGTCATTAGTCCGGCTGACTGGCAGTGGGTGAACGGAGTGAAAATCATGCATGGTCACCGTGCTACTGATGGGTATTGTGGAAGTGTCCATTTGTCGTGCTGAAATTAAATCAGAATGAGGAAAAAAAATTTCAAAAAACTTCACATTCCGATTTATGTAAATCTTGCCAGTAATAGGATTAAAACAACGATAACCTTTGTATTCAGGGGCATATCCTAAAAAGACACATAAAGTGGATCTAGGAGACAGTTTATTCGCAGAGCCAAACAAGCACAACCAAACACATGCATAAAAGAGAAGTCGGGAGAATGGTGGAATAATTTTTCAAAAGGAGATATGCCATTTAGATTGGGAGTAGGAGCCGATTAATAATAAAAATTGCGGTAAACACAACATCTACTCAAAAATTAGCTGGCAATTTTGCATTGAAGAGCATAGTACAAGTTAATTCAAGTATATGCCTGTGTTTACGCTCAGCTACTCCATTTTATTCAGGAGTGTCAGGGCATGATTTGTGAAATAAAATACCATTTTTGGTAAAAATCTCGCGCATAGCATGATTATCAAATTCACCCCTCCATCACTTTGAAAAATTTTAATTCTAGCATCAAGTAAACTTTCCACCATAGATTTAAAATGCTGAAAATGTCTCACCACTTCACTTTTATTACGCATGGGATAGAGCCAAGTAAACCAGGAAAAATCATCAATAAATAAAACATAATATTTAAAGCCATTTGAAGAAAGGACAGGAGACTGCCAAACATCAGAATGAATTAAAAACAAAGGAGTAGTAGATTTATGCCACACTTCTTGAAAAGGTAATCGTTTTGATTTTCCTAACCGACAAGAAATCCATGTAAAAATCGGCGCAACCCAAGACGATGGCGTAGAGGTCTGGTGCAGCACGGAGGTTTGCGGCGGTGAGTGAAGCTGCTCGTCTAGGGATGAGAACGGCGTTGATGTCACCGCAGTTGGAGTCATCTCGTCCGTGCTAAGAACTGCCGAGGTTACCACCGAAGAAGGCAGGGTAGTGACGCTCGTGGTAGCATCGGCGGCGGAAGTCGGCTGAGAGGCCATTGGAACGGGAAAAAAATTAGTTCTGTCAAAAACCTAGGGCTCTTAATACCATGTGAGAATAATGCAAAGGCTTACCAATGTGGTAGCCCTAGGTCTCATATATATAAAAGAATATGTCCTAAGTACATTAGGAAACATAAGAAATATGGAAACCTAATTAATGGTATGGTATTAATTACTCTAATATACTCTATTATTTAGCTTATGAAAAGGGAAAGAGGTTATGACCGCAACATCAAGATTGGACATGGACTCCATACCGGTCTCAAACTCCACACTCACCTTCACAACCGAGTCTTTTCCGGAAATATTGGATTTCGATCCATATGTCGGATACTCCCCGGTGGTTTCGCAACTTGTGCCCTACGAACCTCTTGTCCCGGAAACAACTCCAGCAGTAAGCATCTCGATGTGTTTCTTCCCAGATTCATCGCAGACCAGGCCGACGACATCTGGTCTACAGACTGTCAACCAATAGATGTCGATTCCTATCACCATGTCGGCACCAGCGGTGCCTTTCGTCCCTCACTCCGGAGCCGGCTCATCTGGAGGAGCGGGGCCTTCAACTCGTCCAGTCCCACTCCCAAATCCCAGAAGGGACGTATTCCGGAATTTATTTGCAGAACCCCAGAGACGACAAGTTCTGATCCATGTCGACATGACCAGAGGTGTCGACATCAACAATCAAAAGCGTCAGGAACCATAGGTCATCACCATACAGTCACCGACCGAACAAAGGGCGAATCAGACGGCAACACCCCCCGGAGCAGTGGGTCCGCAGATACCAACAAACACGACGGATCCCTTGGCCATCATCATGGAAGAGTTGAGGGAGTTGCGGGAAAAGGTCAACGACATCCCTTAGGTTCCACGTCCGCTTGACGTAGCGACGCAAACCTGTTACGCATATTCACCCTTCGGACGACATATTGCGGACGTCGAGATTCAAGGGAAATTCACCGCACCATCAATGAAGTTGTTCGATGGAACCTCTGATCCGGTCGAACATGTTGCTCAGTATAAACAGCGAATGTTGGCCATCTTTGTCAGACCCGACCAACGAGAGGCCTGTATGTGCAGGGTTGACATGGTTCGTCAACTTACCGAACGGGGGCATCAACTCGTTCGCGGAGCTGGTTAACTTGTTCACCCGGCAGTTTGCAAGTAGTCGAACCTTGGAAAACCAAACCAGCGACTTGTATCGTGTAACCCGAAGAAGCAACGTGTCCTTAAGAGATTACTTGCATCGCTTTAACAAAGAAAATGTGTCAATCCCAAGATGTGATACGCCGACAGTTGTGGAAGCATTCAGAAGAGTATTACGTGAAGACTCAGACTTGTATAGGAAAGTGACTAAGTTTCCATGCAAGACCTTTGAAGACATCCGACTTGAGGAGGATCAACAGTCTCGTCTTCGTTTTGACGGATATGAGGGAGAACAACGAAAAGCAAGCACTTCCAAAAAGCACAACTACAGGACGGGAAAACCCTACGCGAAGAATGAAGATCGACCTGTTGCATCAGCGACTACTTGGCTTGATGATCCCAACCTACCACCTTCTATTCCAACGTACTGCTTCAATGTCAACACTTGTAACACCCCGGCCCCGCAGGACCCGAGGTAGTTACTCCACACACACCCTCCGTACCTCTAGTACTGCCCTCACAAACTGCCACTAGCCTTTTCTGCGCACTTTGTCATCACTCGTGCGCGCCCTGAGAAACTTCCCAGGGGGTCACCTATCCCAAGACTACTCCCGTGCAAGCACGCTTAACTTTGGAGTTCTTAGCGGATGAGCTCCCTTAAAAGGAGATGCGCCTTGTTGGTATGAGTCGTACTATTAATCCTCTTAAATTAATCTCGGGTATTACAATCACCCCCACTTAGGATCGCAACGTCCTCGTTGCGCCCTTAAACAATTCTCAATCAAACCCCAGAATCTTTTTGCCCTGCTAAATGTCTGCCTGATATCCAACGGATGAGCACACTATCGCAGGGTTGCTCTGATATCATTTGTAACACCTCGGCCC